CCTAGAAGACGCTGGATTGGCTCAGCATCATCGAAAGCGAGAGAAAGAATGAACCTTTCCTCTGTCAGTTCACTCTCCAAGCAGTTGCAATAGCCAGGACGCGCCAGGCTGGAGCCAGAAACTCCATGTGGTCTCCTATGTGGCCGGCAAGACCTCAAGCACTCGGCTCACCTGCGGCAGCTTTCCCAGGTGCATCAGCAGGCAGCCGGGGCAGAAGCGGAGCGGCACTGGCACATCTGTGTCACAGGCCACAGCTTAACCTGTAGCGCCAACAGTGGCCCCTGCTGAGACACTTTGAAGAAGTAAGAATTCATTAAGGAAACACCATGATACATATTATCATCTCGTTACATTCTCAGAAAAACTCCTGGCAGTGTGCACATCAGCTGCAGCAGGCTGGGGACATCAGATCGCCCCCATTTTTTGGCACGCTCGGGGGCGTGGTTCTGGGGTCACTACGGACACCAAGCTCTGAGAGTCAACACGTTGACACAGAATCCACCTGATGCTGTGCATCTTCAGTCATCTCCACCTAATGCAAGGTACATGACACGTGAGCAGGTATTACACAGAACTGTTTAAAGGATGACAAGGGAGAAGCAAAGCTGTCTGGGAAGCACCGTACACCTGTGCTTTAGAACAGCTTCAACGTCTGCTGAGTCCCTGGCTGTGGGACCCGCAGGTGCAAGAAGGATGGCTGGGGCAGCCGTCCCAACAGGACTCCCACATATGCAAGTGATGCTTGGCACTCTGTGGGTACACTGGATACTACATGACAATGAGGCACAGACAACCTCCATCAACAAGGACATTTCCACACAGTCGAATGCAGCATTTCTCAGGACCTGGCTGGGAAGCAGGAGGAGTGTGTAAGAAGCAGAGCTACGACTTGGATATTAGCTTGGATGCCTCCCCGAAGTCTCCTGCTGATGGCACTAAGAGGGGGAGAACTCTAAGACAATAGGGTATCTGGTGAGAGGTCCTTAGGCGATTGAAGTTGTGCTCCCCCAGGCAAGGGTCGGATACAAACACTGGAGCTGGACGCTGCCTCTCACCTCTCTGGCCTGCCAAGGCCTCATTCCTCCACGTAAGCACCCAGCATTGCCACCCTCCACCTAGGCCTCACAGTGGACCCTGCCTCATCTTGTACTGTGAGCCAGCGTAAACTTCTTTGCTTCATGAGTAGCTTTCGTCTCGGGTGTCTTGTGATAGTGACAACATGCCAGTGCAACCAGGACTGGCTCACCCGGGCCGCGCAATGTAGGGAGCCTGAATGCTCTGGGCTCCATCGAGTACTTTTAACTTTAGAACACTGACTGTCCATTTCAGCCACAAACGAGAGGGGCCTTCATCTTTTGAAGGTGTTTCCTCCTCCATATTCATGTGTTCCACGGTCCTTACTGGTATACCCCCTGCAATGACCGGTATTGAGGAAAGATTCAGACCGGGTTGGCAATGGGCAGGTGGGGCAGCTTCCTAATTGGACGCTGAAATACAGGCAGTGTGGGTGGGTTGCCGATTAGGCCTGGGCTCGCTGGGGTGGGTGGTGACAGAACCCCGAAGCAGACAGGGCAGCGGCCGCTGTGCCAGGTGTACCCCCCGCTCCCTCCACACCTCCACCCACAAGCCTCGGTGAGCAGAGGCAGAATTGTGAAGATGGCACACAGCCCATCCTGCTTCCTCCCCACGGGAGGAATGCTGACGTCACTGTCTCTGTAATTGCTATTTGCCTTGAGCCTGAAACAGAGCAGAGTGTGTGCTCTGGGAACATCTGGGAGCAATAAATGACCGCTGCCCTTGTCTCCTCTTACTTCTCTGGCATCAAGGGACAGGGTCAGACAGTCCCCTACCCCCCAAGTTCCTTATCAATCTAGGCCTTAGGTGGGCGGGGTGGGGGGCAGCAGGGGAGCCTGTTGTTCAGAAAACAGGCAATCAGGGATGCAGGAAGTGACGGGACTGGCCAGGCTCCTGCGCCGCCCTGCAGGTGCTTGGGCCCACACTGGCCCTGCAGTGCACAGGAGGGGGACTGTAGGCGCTTGGATTTGGGAATGGAAGGTTGCTGAAGTTGAATCTCAGAGCCCCACTTAGGGGTCTGCTTGCTGTCTGCTGTGGTGCCCCCTTCCCTGCCCCCCTCATGGGCAGGGAGAAGACTGAGAAAGAGAGGTGTGTGTGCACAGCGGCATGGGGGTGCCAAGCAGGGAGCAGCTGTGTTTTGGCTTACGGAGACAACTTTCCCAAAGAAAGGAAGGAAATGGCAATGCCAGCTGCAAGGCTGCCAGTCACCATGCTCACCACAAGGCAGGGGCTGCAGCGCCACCACAAACCCATCAGTATTTCTACTTCATGGATGAGGCAATGGGAGCCCAGAGAGGTTGGGGAACTGATGTTGTGGTTTACTGTATTAAGTCACCGTTTGCGTTGTCAGCATCCTGTGTGGGCACTGATTCGAGCCCCAGTGGCTCTACTTCTGGTCAATCTCCCTGCTAGAGAAAGCAGACCCTAGTACTTGGGTCCCTGTTACCCATGTAAGAGACCCACATGGAGTTCCTGGCTTTGGCTTGCTCCAGCCCAGGTTGGGGAAGCCACTTGAGGAGTGAACCAGTGGCTAGGAGTTCTCTCTCTGGCCATACCTGTGTCCCATCTCCTGCCAGGCAGACACAGCATCTGCTCCTTTTCTTTCTTTTTTTTTTTTTTAATGAAGGATGACAAACAGATGGGGACCAATGTGATGGCTCAATTGGCTAATTCTCTACCTACAAACGCCAGATCCCATATGGGCATGTTTGTGTCCCAGCTGCTCCACTTCCCATCCAGCTTCCTGCTTGTGGCCTGGGAAAGCACTAGAGAATGACCCAAAAGCTTTGGGAGCCATATGGAAGACATGGAAGAGGTTCCTGGCTCAGCTCTGGCTATTGCAGCCATTTGGGGAATGAACCAGCAGATGGAAGATGTTTCTGTTTTTCCTTTTCTCTGTAAATCCGCTTTTCCAATAAAAATAAATAAAGAAGAAGAAGAAGAAGAAGAAGAAGGAGAGAGTAGGAGAACAGCTTTCCTCCAATGCTCTTAAAGAGCCTAGGCCAGGCCAGGCAGGTGTGTGGCTGTAACTCTTGCTGTGCTCTGCCTTGGTGCAACACAGAACACATGGCTATTTGTGACTGCGTGGTGGGGCTCAGGGCACTCGGTGAGCGAGGGGTGCAGGCACTTGCAGCCCTTGGGGGAGTCAGCTAGGGCAGGGCAGCCTGCCTGAGTCATTCTCAGGTTATACAATGGCTGATCTTGGGGCAGGTGCTGGGCAGGGGACAGGCAGAGCCACCAAGAGCAGGCTGATGGACCGAGGAGGGAGGGCCTGCCCGGAGAGATGCTGGCATGCCTTCATTTGCTGTGCATCCTCCCTGTTCACAACAAGGGCCTCTCATTGCCAACACACCGCAACCCAGATTTCCATTCTTCAGATGTGCTACCAGACTCAGACAGCCGAGAGGATGTGCTGAAGCACGGAGCTGGGATGTCACAGAGGTGTGGACAGGGGTCCCCAGTGCTGGCCCCTTCCAGCACGCTTCCTCTGTCGCTCTGTTCCCCATCTCTGGAAGGTCCTGGAAGGTTCTGGCTGGGTGTGAAGAGCCAGCTTATAGGGGTTGAAGCTAAAGTGGGGGAGGAAGTGAAGGCCAAGCCCTCCAGGGACCAGCATCAGTGGGATAGGCTAGGGATTGGACAAAGTGGGAAGCTCATCTCCAGCCACAGGGGAGCCACCAGGCACCCATCTCGCTGCATGACGGGAGCAGCACCCCCCAAGGGCCAGCCTGCAAAGCTGGGGTGATGAAGATGCCCGGGGAGCCCGAGAACTGACCTTTTTTGTTCCCCTCTGATTCAGAGCAGCGACCAGCATCATGGCAGATGCACTCACGCTTGTAATAACAGCATCACCCGGCTTTTATAGAGGACTGTTTTTCTCCATCTGCTCCACTGCCTTTCATCTGCAGCTGGTCATTTTTCTATTCACAAAGCTGGCTGCAGTGCACCTGTAATTAGCATCGTTTTAGACATAGAGAAGCTGGCCCAGCAAGGAAAGGGTGGCGGCCCCTGTTCTCCCAGGCCCTGGTCGGGATCAGCTTTGATAGTAATTAGGGATGGTTTTGCCCAAGCCTTGCCACTCACCTGGGCCTCCCGCTTGTGTGAAGATCTAGACTCCTTGGCTTTCCAGCTCTGTGGCTAGCCGCATCCTTTGGTTTGTGAGATGGGGGTGGAAAATACTGCCCATTGTACAACACAGCAGGCTCGTGGGGGGATGCAGGCCACAGGGATCATCTCAGATTGTACTAGTAGTCTCCTAGTTCTGAAAAGTTAAAAGATGTGAGATCAGTAGATTAAGCCTCAACCTGCGTTGCCGACATCTCGTTTGGACGCTGGTTCCAGTTCCAGCTGCTCCACTTCCCATCCAGCTCCCTGCTTGTGGCCTGGGAAAGCAGTCGAGGACAGCCCAAAGCCTTGGGACCCTGCACTCACGTGGGAGACCTGGAGGAAACTCCTCCTGGCTCCTGGCTTAGGACACCCTGCTGGAGCTGTGGCAGCCTTTGAAACAGTGGATGGAAGATCTCTCCTCCTCTCTGTATCTATGACTTTCCAATAAAAATAAATAAATCTTTTAAAAAAATATTTGATTAATGGTGTATAAGCCCAAACCTTATCATTTGGATACCTAGTCAACATCGAGAATTAGTTAAGGGCCCACTTCACGTTATGTATTTTTTATCTTGAGTAAGTTGATGGAATCTCGGGTGTATTTCGCAGCTACGAACACATCTGGGCTCAGAGCACCCACATTTCTAGAGCCGAGGCCTGGGACGCCCCTGCACCTCGCACCGCGCCCCGGCTCCCCCTCGCGGTGCCGCAGTCCCGGGTGCGCCGGCGCGCACCGCCCCACATGACGCCACCGAGGCCGGGCGGTGCCCAAGGATAAAAGTCGGAGCGGGCGGGGAGGCGCCCGCTTTCCGCGCTGCCCACCAGCTCGCCAGTCTACGAATCGTGCATACAACTGCAAGGGCCAGAAGCTCCTCCGCTCCCGCAGCCGGCACCATGCGTGAGATCGTGCACATCCAGGCGGGCCAGTGCGGCAACCAGATCGGCGCCAAGGTCGGGGGACGGACGGCGCGGACGGGCGGGCGGGTGCCTGCCGGCTGGGTCGGCGACGAGGGGAAGAAGGCTGGGTGGCCCCGGGCCCTATAGGGGCGCGTCCGGCAGCCAGGTGACCCGGAAAGCCGCGTAACCTGTCCGGCTGCAATTGCGTGTGCCTTTAATGAGGCCTGCCGAAGCCCCGGGCACAGCCCCGCGGGGTGGCGGTTCCCTTGGGTTGGATCCGGGAGCCTGCTGTGAAATGCAGAAATGGTGCATTTCTGTCTGTCCTTTAGTGAAAAACTGCAGTGTCATGGGAGCTGACATATGCACCAGAGGCGTCCCGGGGCCATCTTTGTGACGACCACCTGAGTTTTTAGGAAAACCCTCCTAATAGACGTGGTGACATGTAAAGTGGCAGTCTTGTGTCCGTCTGGGAGCGTCAGGTGATGCACATAGTGGAGGTTGTAGTGCCTGACCGCAGCACGGAGGCAGCAGTGGGCACACTGCATGGGTGTGGGCTGCAGCCTGCACAAGGACGTGGGCTCTTTCACAACCGCCATCTTTCCCACCCCAGCCTCCCCGCCCCTCTCCTGCTGCAGATTGACAATGGAGACTGCGCTTTCCCAAGGGCCAGCTCCTTCCCCCACAGCCAGGCACCCTCCCTCTCCCAGCCCTGGTCAGTATACCTGGGGGCCAGGATGTAGGTCAGGGGCATAAAGCTGCACTGCTGGACAGCTGCTTGGGGTCTGTGCCAGGAGCCATCCATCTCTGCAGGGAGCCATGAGATGGCAGGTGCCTGATGCAGGATGCTGCCAGGACACAGCCTGGGTGTCATTCAGCCACCCTGCCTGGGGTACAGAGCCCTCAGCTGCACAGCTTCCCCCAGCAGGAGAGCTGCCGGCAGCCCCCCATGCTCCAGCAGCCCCACCCCCAGCCCTGCAAGCTGTCACGTAGCACAGGTGATGCTCTGCGCATTTCCCAGCGCCTCTGCAGCAGGCAGGTGGGGACTGCAGGCAGGCTGCAGGCCATGGCTGCTGCTCCAAGGACACGGGAGGCAGGAAAGGCCAGCGTCCTTGGAGACCACCAGGAGGCCGTGCCAAGCCGCGATTCTCTGTCATTGCAGTTCTGGGAGGTGATCAGCGATGAGCACGGGATCGACCCCACTGGCAGTTACCATGGAGACAGTGACTTGCAGCTGGAGCGCATCAACGTGTACTACAATGAGGCTGCTGGTGAGTGCTGGCTGGTCTCACCAAAGCCACCTTGCTCTGCAGGCAGAAGCCATGAACTGTGCCAGCAACATGCAAGTGGCCAGCGGGTGCCTCTTGCATTTTCATTTCAATGCCCACCATAACCAACGCGTCTTCCAGCTCCTGACGACTCTGGCACCTTGCCCAGTCTGAGCATGATCAGTGTCTCCTGCTTCTTAGGAGCCGAAAATCTCCCCTTTTGTCTCAAATGCCAGTTATCTGAGTTCTGCTGGGAAAGCCAGGTGAACAAGCCTCTAGTTCAAGATTGCTTTGTTCAGCACAGGCCTAAGTCAGCTCCCGTTCCCCCCACAGGCAACAAATACGTACCTCGGGCCATCCTGGTGGACCTGGAGCCTGGCACCATGGACTCGGTGAGGTCGGGACCCTTCGGCCAGATCTTCAGGCCCGACAACTTCGTGTTTGGTGAGTGGTCAGGGCAGGGGTGCTGGTGCAGGGTTTGCCCGCTCCCAGCCACCATACCCACTCCTGGGCTCAGTGCTGGGCCGTGGACAGCCTGGTCTCCTGTGCCTGGCACTCTCCAGCCTGCAGGGGGCTGGGTGGGCCTCCCTGACACAGCAGCCTCTGAAGCAAGGCTAAAGGGCAGACAGCACTTGAGATGGGCTTAATGGGCTGCAGGTCATTGCCAAGGGGCAGGGCCGGAAGGCTAGGACATGGCTTTAGAACTGCCTAGCCCTGCTCTGTCATCATGCTGTGCCTGCCCTCCCGGCTCGCGGTGCGCCTTCGTTTGGGCAGTTATAGGAATGTGTAAAATGAACGGATCAGTTGTTAGTCCTGTCTTTTCCAATTCATAGCGTCACTGGGATATAAATATAGATTTTATGTTATTCTGACGTTTTTGATAATTACTAGCATATTTTTGTTTAGGTGTTTAGTGGGCTATGCAAAGAATGTTCTAGGTTAGCCCTCCTCCTCATGAGCATGGCATAACTGAGTGAGCCTTCCGTGTCTGAACTGTCCTTTTCCTCCCCAGGCCAGAGTGGTGCCGGGAACAACTGGGCCAAAGGCCACTACACAGAGGGGGCCGAGCTGGTGGACTCGGTGCTGGACGTGGTGCGGAAGGAGTCGGAGAGCTGTGACTGCCTGCAGGGCTTCCAGCTGACCCACTCGCTGGGCGGCGGCACGGGCTCGGGCATGGGCACCCTGCTCATCAGCAAGATCCGCGAAGAGTACCCCGACCGCATCATGAACACCTTCAGCGTCATGCCCTCGCCCAAGGTGTCCGACACCGTGGTGGAGCCCTACAACGCCACGCTGTCCGTGCACCAGCTGGTGGAGAACACGGATGAGACCTACTCCATTGACAATGAGGCCCTGTATGACATCTGCTTCCGCACGCTCAAGCTGACCACACCCACCTACGGGGACCTCAACCACCTGGTGTCTGCCACCATGAGCGGGGTCACCACCTGCCTGCGCTTCCCCGGCCAGCTCAATGCTGACCTGCGCAAACTGGCCGTGAACATGGTGCCCTTCCCGCGCCTGCACTTCTTCATGCCGGGCTTCGCGCCCCTCACCAGCCGGGGCAGCCAGCAGTACCGCGCGCTGACCGTGCCCGAGCTCACCCAGCAGATGTTCGACTCCAAGAACATGATGGCCGCCTGCGACCCGCGCCACGGCCGCTACCTGACCGTGGCCGCCATCTTCCGCGGCCGCATGTCCATGAAGGAGGTGGACGAGCAGATGCTGAACGTGCAGAACAAGAACAGCAGCTACTTCGTGGAGTGGATCCCCAACAACGTCAAGACGGCCGTGTGCGACATCCCGCCGCGGGGGCTCAAGATGTCGGCCACCTTCATCGGCAACAGCACGGCCATCCAGGAGCTGTTCAAGCGCATCTCGGAGCAGTTCACGGCCATGTTCCGGCGCAAGGCCTTCCTGCACTGGTACACGGGCGAGGGCATGGACGAGATGGAGTTCACCGAGGCCGAGAGCAACATGAACGACCTGGTGTCCGAGTACCAGCAGTACCAGGACGCCACGGCGGACGAGCAGGGCGAGTTCGAGGAGGAGGAGGGTGAGGACGAGGCCTAGGACTCCTCGCAGCTCTCATGCCCGTCAGTGAGCGTTTCTTGTCCTCACGCATGGTCTTTGTATAAAATGGTGCTCAGTTTTGCCTCTGTCACAAATTCACACTGTTGATGTAATGTGCAGTTCCTTTCCAAGTTAATTATTGTCTCCCGAGATCTCTACACTAATAAAGCATGTGTGTTAACCTGTGCGTGCTCTCCCAGCTGAAGGCCTCTGGCTTCTCGGCCGCATCAGCGCAGCCATGCACACTTGTGGGTAGCAAGTTCAGTTAGTACCTTCCTCGCCTTCAGTAGCGACCAATGAAAAGTGAGATGTCTTCATTTTCAGCATCGGAATGTTTTAAATCTCAGAGGTGAGCCAGGAGGGGAAGGATGCTTGAGGAAGCCAACCTTCCCTTACCTGCTGCCATCCCTCACACTCACGTGCGGCTGTAAAATCTAGCCCCGAGGAAGCCATTCTTTTATTTCTCTACCTTGTACAAATGCAATAGGAAAGAAGAGACCCTTGATCTCTCCCCCAAAGGCACAGGATAAATCCAGGCATCCTAAGGCTGTCTGCCGGAAAGGCGACTGCAAAGTGAATTACGGCAAGAAATAAAGAGGAGAGTTAAAAGTTAAAGACCGCTGCTTTCATTTTTTGCAGCCTTGTGATTGAGGGGCTGTCATCTTGGCTTCAGTTTGATCAGAGTCAGGTGGCGGGGAAGGGACAGAAGATGGGTGAGCTGACAGGGACAGCGATGTGCTGTGATGGCGCCACACCCAGGAGCCCGAGGCTCGGGTGAGTCACCGCAGGAAGTCTTCTGCTAACTTGTTAAATTCGGTGGCAAAGCGCAAGTGCAGGTTGTGTTTGCCCTCCGGCATCAGGTGCAGCCTGAAAGGAGACCAGAGAATGTTCAGAGAGAGCCAAGGCGCCAGCTCCTTACCCATCTAAATGTTTCTGAAAAGAAATGAGCAGCTGCCCAACCTTCCCATGTGTCCATTCGGAGTGGGGGGCATGCGATGACGCACACACTTTGCACAAATGTAGACCTGAGAGTGAAAGTCCTGGGGCGTTCTGACAGCTTGGGGAGTGAATGGAAGGCAGTTGCCCTGAGCAGTGTGTCACACACACACACACACACACACACACACACACCATCCGGAATCCCATCAGGCAAGAAGACTCAATGGGAGAGGTAGGTGATTTGGTGCCTCAAATAAATCCATGCTAATGAAGCTGACTTGAGAGAAGGCTGGGAGACAGAATAAACGTGTCCCAGCCAGTGTGTGTCGTGGGAGGGTTTCCCCAGGCTGCTGCCCAGAGTTCCGGGTCAGTCTGCCATCTGGGAACTGAACAAGTGACTCTGGGTGCCGGCAGAGTTGCTGAGGACAGAAGATGGGGTGGGGCAGCCCTATGCCCAGGGAGCCACCTCCACTGCAGCTTGCCTTGGTGGCAACCCTTCCCAAGCTTGCTGCTGGTGATGCGTCATGTTGGAGGTCATGAGTCCCAGGTCTCTGCTTCCAGCAGACCCAGAGGACAGCAGAGGATGGCCGCGAGTGCCCCCGCCCTATGGTCCACGGGGAGCCCGGACCAGGAGCCTGGCTCCTGGCTCACTGGGGAGTGAGCTGCTGAGTAGAAATCCTTCCTTCTTCCCTACCACACACTGCCTTCCAAACAGCTGATTAACTAACACATATATACACACATATCCCAACTCTAGATTCTTACCCAAACAACAACAAAATCAAACACCCGGCCCGGGGAGTGGTTTTCTAACATTCACAGTTCTCTAGGCATGCTGCCCCCCACCCCGACCCCGTCCCACATGGACAGGGTAACCCATGTTCCTGTGTGCGGGGCAGCTTCCTTACGGCAGCTGGCACTTTAGAGACAGGACTGCAGATCTCTTGAGGAACAGGAGTCCATCTGGTCTCAGGACAGCCAGCGGTCCCTGGAGCTCCGCCTGAGCAAGTCCTGCTGGGCTTCTGGGCTCCCACGTGACCCTGGGCGACAGACTGTCAGAGGCCAGGAGCAAGGTGCTGCAGCTTCGTCACTTAGGAATCCCCCACCAGTTTCCAGATTGGAAACCCGGGGAGGCTGCTGGCACCTCTGCCACTGACCCCAGACAGCACTGGGGCCACAGCGCGCCCCTCCCGTGTAAGGTGCCCCTGTTATGCCCCAAACCTGGGGGCCCACAGCAGCAGCCTCCTGTCTCTCATGCTGCTCCCCTTAAAAAGCCCTGAGGAAAGCAGTGAAGGAGGGGGAGCCACAAGCCCCTTCTAGTGCCAAAGCTGGGGAGGGGCACAGCCCTGAACTCTGTCCTGGGCCTGCTCTCAGCCCTGAACCAGCCAGGCCAGGGCCATGGGACGCAGAAGTCATGTCAGGGACAAGTTCCTTTTCTCAAGCAGACGCATGTCTTAGCCCCAAGAGGCTGCTAGGCTGGCGACACAGTAGTCTAGACTGGCCGCCTCCCGGGCAGGCCGGGTCTGCTGGCAGATGCTCTCATGTGGTACATGGACGAAGAGGTCCTTCCCAGGCTGGGCACCAGGACCCGGGCGAGGCCTTCGTCTGCAGCATGAGCTGTCTCCTGTGGCAGCTGGAGAGCCATGGGAGGCGTGTGCACAGGCCTGACGCTGCTCGCACAGAGCCACGCTGAGGGACTGTCACCATCCAGAGCCTCACTCCACGGGAGGAGCTTCTCACAGAATCATGGTGAGGGTGTCACAGGAGGACCCACACAGTGTGCCAGCACACAGTAGGCAGTTAAGAGATGCCGGCAGCTGGCAGGGGGAGGCCCTGGCTGTGGGTGAGTGTGAAGGGAAGGCTCCCACCTCCAGCAGGGCACTGTGCCCAGTGGGGCAGGTGACACTCCCTGGCATGTACTTTGCACACACACAGGTTTGGACTCTGAAAGCTGGCAGGCTCTGTGTGGAGTTGATCCTGTGATGTGGCCAGATGGAGACTCTTGACCGACTCTTTGCCTCCCACGTGGACAGTGAGTGGTTAAAGGAGAGGTCAGGAGTGGCGCCAGGGACAGCAAGGGGTGGGGTGCAGAAAGAGGGGGTATCATCCCCAGGATGGGAGTGGTCTAGAAGCAGAAGCTGGGCACTGCCCCAGCTCTGGTACCTCCCTCCCCAACATCCTGGCGGAACACGAGCTGTGGTTTCCAGCATGAGTCTGTCCCACATTGACCAACTGACTACCCCAGCAGTGGGGAGGTCGGAGCTGCCCTGGAGGCCATCTCGTCACTGCTGGGCAGGTGTGGAGGAGCCACAGGAATGGCAGAAAGAGGCCCTACTCTCCCTTCTGTGACCTAGCCTGTGCACAGCATGGAGCCCACTGCCTGGCGAGCTGGTCATGCCCCTTGCTGCCCCCTGCCCCTCCAGGACCCCTCTCGCCACCCCCCCGCCCCCCACACACACACAGCCAAAACCTCTGCGGAGTGGAGCGATCACCCTTGGGCTGTCCCACACTGCGATGGTTAATGTCATGTGTCAACATGAACGGACCACAGGTGCTCAGGCGTTTGGTCAGACGGTGTTCTGGGTGTACCTAGAGGGTGGCTCTGGATGACACCAACACTGGACTCAGTGCCTGGGGACAGGTGTTTGTCCTCCCTGCTGTGTGCGGGCCTGTCCTGCCATCAGATGGGAGGAGGGAGCGCCCCCTGCCGGATGGCCTTCCAATGGGGGCACTAGTGTTTCCTGCCTTTGGAATCCAGTGCAAAATGGAAAGCCCGGCTCTCCATGGGTCTGGAGCTTGCAGGCTTTTAGAAACTTTGACCTTGGGCTCTAAACTATGAGAAAACACAGATGCTCTTCAACTTACAATGGGGTCCTCTGCACGTTGAAAAACACAGACAAAAAAGCTACTGACCATCAGTCAGCAGTCCATGTGTGTGAAGACCGGCTCTGTGCACCAATTTCCTCACTGCTGGACAGCGAAGAGACCAGTAAGAGCCAGGCAAGTTGCAGGCAGGTTGAGGCCCCACAAGAAAGGCTCACTGAGTACAGGGAGATGGTCAAGCTAATTTTATTTTATTTCATTTTACTTTTACATATTTATTTATTTATTTGGAAAGCAGTGTCACAGACAGAGAAGGAAAGACATGCAGATCTTCCATCTGCTGGTTCACTCCCCAGATGGCTGCAAGGGCTGAGGCTAGGCCAGGCAGAAACTGCGAGATTCTGGGTCTCCCACACGGGCGGTCGGGGACAAAGCGTCTGAACCATCCTCTGCTGCTTTCCAACTATTAACCGGGAGCTGGACTGAGAGTGGGACAGCGGGGACACGAACCAGTACCTAAATGGGATCCTGGCATTACAGGCAGTGGTTTTAACAGCTATGCCACAATGATGCCCTTCTACGTCAATCTTAAATGATCGTTTCCGATTACACTCAACCCACTGCTCATCAACAGTACACTGACATAACTATTATCTCTCCCAGAAGGGAACCTTTCCTCCTATATTGATGCATTCGTTGCTAGGAGATGGGAGTGGAACAGAATGCTGAAACTAAACTTCCTCACGTTTACCGACTCTGCTTTCAGGGACCGTTGCATTCGTTGCACGTGTCCGCAAAAGCCTGTCACTTCTGCGCTGGCAGACAGTTAGCCAGGCCGCCCAGCACTGCCCGTCACGCGCGGAGGCTGCCCTGGCTGGACGTGTACTCCACAGGAGGGAAAAGGCCTTGGACTCGTCATTGAGCAGCTATGCAGCCTTGGCTGACTGTTTAGCACCTTGACGGCCCACCTGTAAATGTGGTTTTCACAAGTTTATTGTGAGACACAGCTAGATATTTACAGAAAATCCCTTTTAAAATATAAAATGCTATTTGAGAGCATCACATCACATATATATGAAAAATTAAAAATTATAAAAGTTGAGACTTTAGAGCACAATTTTGGAAGTCTCAATAATGCCACAACTACAGGGCTGGTGTTGTGGTCTGGGGGCTGGCCACTGCCTATGACGTCAGCATCCGCTCTCAGCACCAGTCAGGTCCTGGCTGCTCCCGACTGATGCTCCCAGGAAGCCACAGTGACGGCCAAGCCCTGGGGCCCCTGACCGCCACATGGGACTTGGACGGAGCAGCAAGCCTTAGCCCAGCCCAGCCCAGTGGCCACTGGGACTGGCCCAGTGATGAACTGTTTCTTTGGCTTCTCCTTCTCTGTAAATCTGCCTTCCAAATAAAACAAGCAAGTCCAA